AAACTTAATTGTAGAAAATACGACTTCGTTAACAGAGGAGTCAGTGCCTGGAATGCATTACCTGACTCTGTGGTTTAATTCCCTCACCCCCATAATTTTAACCTAAGACCGTCTATTGTTGACCCCACCCCATTCCTAAGAGGTCTGTAAGGGGCATGCATAAGGATACCAGCCTGCCTTCCATCCCTGTCCTACTGTCCCCACTTATTTGTATCCATTTCCTATATTCATAATCATGTTTACACTTATATATCTGTTATACATGCTTGATAAAATAAATACTTTTTTAAAAAAAAATGGAAGAGGAATATACAGATATGTACATTTGGCTGCATTCAAAGGCTCTTGTCAACTCATAAAGCATTCTTAATGGCACACCCCATGGGAACTTACATTCATGGTGGGTAATCATCTTAAATTCATCTTGATGTGGTCTGAGCTTGGATGTTATCTACCCTGCTAATGAAACATCTTCAGGAAAACAACTAAGTTCGGAGAACACCATGAACTCAACAGCTCATTTCTGAACAACATTTAAATTATTGAAACATGCATTCCTGAAAACTACCCAAGGCTAGATATTTTTGTTGTCTCTCCTCAAATGTTTTCCCTTTAATTTGTTACTTGCAAGTTCAGGTTCTGGCCTTTTGTGGCTTAAACTCATTTAAAATGGAATGTGATGAACACTTAACCATGTTCTGCCTTATATACTCAGAACATCAATTTGACCGGAGTTTAAGCAATGGCTTAATGCTGAGCACAGTTGTACTATAAATTAGACTTCCTGCATTTTTTTTTGAAATCTTCTCTTTCTGTGGTTTTGATACAGTTGAAATATTTTTACTGGATTCTATTCTTTCTTTTTGCAATGAATGGAAATAAAATGGCTGAGGTCAGTAAAACTTGACTAAGGATAGGTGAGAGATATCATGGGGAAAGATCTGTGTCCTCAGTGTAAGGATTTCCTTCCCTGATTTTAGATTGTACACATAATTTCCTTATTAATTCCTGAATGGAACAGATTGCTCTGTTAGTATATGATAGGGATGGGTAGAGGATATGATCTCTATCTGCTTGAAGTAATCTGGAAAAAATCATCTGAATGTTTGCATCCATTAATCAAGTAGATAAACTAGCAATACAATAGGTAAATCAGTAATATACAAATTTTATATTTTATTTACTTATTATTTATTTATTTTGATATAAGTATAAACATGATTATGAATACATGAAAAGGGAACATTAGGACAGGGATGGTAGGCATGTTGGTGTGCTTATACACGCCCCCTACAGACCTCTTAGGAATGGGGAGGTCGACAGTACATTGTCTAAGGTTAAAGTTTTTGGGGGTTTGGGGAAGAAACCACAGAGCCTCAGGCCACCATCAACCTTGCTGTTTCATTTCCTTCCTGTTCTGCTTTTGGTTATCTCTGTGCATGGGGAATTTAGTAAGAAAATGCGAGGGAGAAAGGATTCATCTTTTCTCTTCTGCTTTCTAGTTCTTCTTCCCATGCGCTCCCAAACCACGAATGTCTTCTCCTAATGGAGATGGGAGGAACTTACATCTTACTCATATATTGTGGTTACATTTTATTTATTTATTTTTTTGCTTTCAGTCAAATGCCATTTTATTATTATCATGTGCTTTGTTTCTGCTATTGTGCTTTTCTTCTACAGGAAGTTTCGGGATATTTTTGTCTCTCTGGAAATGTGTCAGGAGGAAAGAAGGCAACTTTTAAAAATAAATAATGGGTGAGAAAAAGGGAGGACGGGAGGGAGGGAGGGA